TCATTTCGTTCAGAAGTTAGATTGATTTCCATAGAGGGACAGACGGTCGGATCGTCATAGAATTTTACGCTGATCAAGAATATATATACTTTCTCGGGTCTAAAATGGTTATTTCGAATTGACGAACTTAATATACCTTCCATACTATGTATGGTGTAGGGTACAAAAATATACATGAGGCTTACCAGAAAAAAAAACCAGTAGGGAAAGGTCTAAAGTCGGGCGGGCTGACTATATGCTACCCTACACCAAAATACGTATTTAGTAGAGCACCCGTAACAAAAAAAAAAAAAAGTTTTTATTGGCAAGTTATGTGAAGAAGATCATACCAACTATGAACCTTATTTGAATCCTTATCATGGCTTTAGAGTAGTCACAATTTGGGAACTACATCCAAATCCGAATCGATTTTTAAAAAAATTTGACAAAGGCTTTAGTACCTCTACTACGAAAAAAATTGCTGTATAGTGAATGATACGATAAGAATTATATGAAACAAGTTAAAAAAGTAATAAGTTCGGCCGGGCCGAAATTTTAATACAACCCACCACTTGGAAGGAATTTGTAAAATGTTAGGAAATTTTCGTCAAAAAATACATCTGTACGAAGACGAGCTGTAATACCCATTAGGACCTTCAAATACGAAATTTAAAACAATTCCGCTGAATAATGTCGCTAAAATCATCAAAATACGGAATAAAGGGAGGAGGTAGAGAATTTTCTGTCAAAGGCTGTGATATCCATTACGAACTCCAAATATGAAAATTGCAACCATTTCCGAGGATAATATCTTTAAAATCCTCAAAATGCCGAATATAGGGAGGTACTGTTATATGGGGGTGATATGAAGAGGTGGATCCGCACAGTCAATTTTCTGTGACAGACTGAAAAAACAATAAAGTGGTGGTCTACCAAAACGGGAACCTATACTATATACTTCAAAGTTTTTTTATCCATTGTGAGTCTCAAAAACCAAACTTGAAACAATTCCGTGAGTAAATGTGACTAGGATTATTAAAATACCGAATATCGGTAGGTACCGTGCACCAATATGGGCAATGTTTTAAAACCGGTTGTAGAACCGATTACAAGCCACAAATACCAATTTATATACCATCTGTGGGAAAATGAGCCTATAACCATCAAAATACCTATATATACAATGCTCCGCCACCGAGACAGGATCCAATGCGAACTACAAATGCAACTTTTAAGACAAAGCCGTGGAAAAAATGTGACTACAATCATTAAAATACCTAATATTATGTGGGTACCGTTATGTGTGGGCTATATCAAAAGGTGGGGGGTATATCTCATTCTCTCCATACCAACCATCCTAAGCACAATACAAACTATTGTGCCAAATTGTAAAGCTCTACTTTAAATAATGTGGACTGTATGAGTGAATTTAACAGACAGACAAATTTAGAGGTGTTACAAACGGATTGACAAATTTAATATACCCTCCTTTGAAAGGTGGAGGATATAAATATTTTTTACAAAATATTTATTGCATAATATTGGATAAGGTTATATATGGGAGTTATATCCACATCTGATGAGATATCGATCAAATTTGAAAGAGGTATTTCTAGGCTGTATCTGATATTTGGTACCAAAGATCATTGTGGTGGAGTGCATATTACGCATGTGAGGGACTTAAAACCCCAAATCGGATGGAATATATATATGGGAGCTATAGCTATATCTGAACCGATTATCACTAAATGTGATTCACTTGCTTCTAGGCTGTATTCGGACAAAAGTGCAATACAATACACTCCTTTTTGGCTGATATTAGCCATTTGGTGCACAATAAACATGAAATCGGATAAAGGTATATATGGGAGCTAGATCCAAATTTGAACCAATCTTGATAAATTGAGATATTTCTGGGAAAATATCATTGTTGTCGAGTGTATATTACGAATGTGAGGGACCTAAACACCAAATCGGATAAACATATACGTAGGAGCTATAACTTTATCTGAACCGATCTTCACCAATTTTAATGTACTTGCTTCTAGACTGAATTCGATCGGAAGTGCCAAAATTCGTTTCGACTGATATTGGCCATCTAATGCACAATTAACCCGATTAACAATTAACCGGTTGAAAATATACATAGCAGCTATGTGTAAATCTGAACCGTTCTTGACATAATTTGATAATCTTATTTTATAGCTGTAACTGATGTCTTGTACCAAATACATCACCCGAGAAATTATGTTTGGTTTATACGGCGAATGATATATCAAAGCTATATCTAAATTTTAATTGTTTTTAAATGCCTTTAAAAGTTATATCATCGGGCTTTATATGATGTCTGTATCTAATAGCATTGATATCAATAGGAGAGGATTCGCCATACAACATTTTTTCTTAATTCCATAAAAAAACTCTACTAAATATTTTCTCAATGGCTTCACGAATATTATACCCTCCACAATACATAGCATGGAGGGTATATTCATTTCATTCATTTTGTCATTCCGTTTTTAATTAAATAATAATCTTCGACATAAAACAACGTATATATATCCTTGATCTAGGACGATTTGGCCCTTTCGGTCTGTCCATCTGTTATAATCACGCTAGAGTCAAAACGAATAAAGATAGGAAGCTAAAATTTTGAACAGATCAATATTTTGTCAATGTCGAGAATGAGCTATGTCGGCCAAGGTTATCGTATAGCCCCATATAATGGTGCCTCCCGATATCCGCTATTTTGATGGTTGTAGCCAAAATTTTCAATGGAATTGCCTGAAATTATACACAAGGAGTTCTTTATGAATACTTTAGCCTCTAGAAGAGAATTGTGTATAAAGGTCCACGATATCGTATATCCCCCATATAACGGCACCTCCCAATATATATAGTATTTGTTTTTTTATGACTTTAGACACATTTTTCAATGGAATTGTCTGCAATTCTACAGAAGGAGTTCTTCGTGAGTACTTTACCTCCTGGAAAAAAATTATATAAGTCCACGATATAGTGGTTCCTCCCGATATTCGGTTTTTTTGCTAATTTTTGCGACGTTATTCAACGGAACGGAATTGTCCGAAAATCCATACTAGAATTTATTTCTAAGCTGTTTACCCCCAGGTATAGAAATGTATATATAGGTCTACAATATCGTATAGCCCACATACAACTGAACAACCACAGCACCACAACCCCCCCCCACCCCCTACACCACAAGGTGGTCAGGGTATTATGTGTTTGTGCATTTGTTTGTAACAGGCAAAAGGAAACGAGATAGACCCATAGTTCCTTTTGATGATCTGCATAGAATCACATTCTGAGTCGATTTATGCATGTCCGTCCGTCTGTCCGTCCGTCCGTCTGTCCATGTATTTTTGTAAACAAAGTACAGTTCGCATTTATTGTCCTATCCAGATGAAATTTTGCACAAATCAATTGTTTGGCCAAAGGACGAACTCAATTGAAATTAGAGATAATCGGTCAAAATTTAGATATAGCTCTCATATATATCTTCGTCCGATTTGCCTTTTATTGTGCACCAAACATGTAATATTGCCCAAATGGGATGAAATTTGGCACTTACGACCGGATCGAGTCTAGAAGCTAGTATGTCAAATTTGGTGAAGATCGGTTCAGATATAGCTATGGCTCCCATATATATATTTCATCCGATTTGTTATTTTTGTCCTCCGCAGCCGTTATATGCACTCTGTAACAACAATATTTGGGAAAATTTATCAAATACAGCTCAGAAATACATTTGCTAAATTTTATCGAGATCGGTTTAGATTTGGATATATCTCCCATATATAACTTCGTCCGATTTACCTTTTATTGTGCATCAAACATCTAATATTTGTCTAAATGGGACGGAATTTGGCACTTACGACCGAATTGAGTCTAGAAGGTAGTATGTCAAATTTGGTGAAGATCGGTTCAGCTATAGCTATAGCTCCCATATATACTGTTCATCCGATTTGTCATATTTGTTACCCACAGCCGTAATATGCACTCCGTAACAACGATATTCAGGGAAATATATGAAAGACAGTTTAGAAATATCTTTGCCAAATTTTATCGAAATCGGTTCCGATTTAGATATAGCTCATATATATATCTGTATCTGATTACAAATTAATTTTGCACCAAATGGACAATACTAGTCCGAATTTAAAAGATACAAATGCTTCGGCATATTTAGTCCTTTCAACTTTAAATTATAATTATAATCATAGCGTGTATGATTGATTCTCCCATAAAAACTTTTAATTGTTATGCGGAGCTCTACTAAAATAGCAAAGTGGTGTAGGGTCTCATGATGTCGGCCCCGCCCGACTTTAGGACTTTTTTTTACTGGTTTTAAGATTTCAACAGAATTTTTAACAGATTTTATTTATTTATTTTTTTGAAAATGGCCAAATTCGTTCGGAATAGTGGAGGGTATTCAAAGTTTGTCCCGGCCGAACTGACAGCTTTTTCAGGTTTTTTTTTTTTTTTTTTTTTGAAAATTGATGTTTTTTGTATTTCAAATGATTGGTCTTAATCTGTCAACTGGGTCCCAGGGAATGTAAAATTTTTTATACAAAAAAATTCACATAACTAAAGAAATAATAGTAATATCTTCCCAAAAAAAATGCTTATATGTGGACCTGTCTTTGGAATTGTCCCCCTAACATCCTAGTCTGAGTTATTGGAAGTTTGAAGATCCTTGCTTCATTTTTCAACCTAATCGTCTGAAATTTGTCATTTTGGTTTCTGAAGAAAAGAAGATGCTCGATACTTTTTATTTTTGAGCTTCGAACGCCTACCAACTCAGTTACAACCAAAGTTTTTCCAATGAAAGTTCGACCAAACACAATTATGTTTTATTTTTTCCAGAGTATAAGCCATTGGTTGGGCCGATCTTTTCCATCATTGGAAAAACTTTGATAATAACGTAGATGGTTGGCGTTCGAAGCTCAAATATTCAAAAATGCCGAATATCTTGACCAGGGAGTCTTTTTTTGTCCAGTAGCCCGGCTGAAATTATTGCCGATTTATTTTTTTTTAAATTCACATCAAATTTGAATTTATTTTTCTCTATGAACTTAAATAATACTTTGTTGAAGACCAGGTACTAATTTTGAAATCCAATTCAAATAGGCAATGTAAACACCAAACCACCACAAGCTGTTAAAGAAAAAGGAAAACGTATTTCTTAATGCATTTTCAATATTTTTCAATTTCCTATTTTTAACTTACCTATGATCACCAGAGTTATTATGGCAAATATGCCATTGCAATATGGCTCCAGCATGGCCGATATTAAATTGGAGGCCACAATGATACCCACACGTCCCATGGTCAAACCTAAACTGGCAGTTTTGCCCCTGAAAAGAAAATTCCAAAAACTAAATTTTTGCCATATTTCTCGCTAGAGATTATACTCACTTCAAATGCGTTGGCACCAAATCCACCAGGGCTCCGCACATAATGGACATCGAAAGACCCGGTAATAGAATATATAAACAAAACAGCACCAAGAGCCCGGTGGTGTTTGTCACCACATGTAGCAGTAGACCACACACCGCACCCACCGCCAATGCAGCCAGGAGTACATTTTTCCTACCCAAAGGATTAAGGAGGGCTCCTTGTATGGAAAAGCCCACAAAAAAGGCCAAGCCCACCACAATGTTGTCCACATAGGTTTTGGTGGCAATGGTGTCGTCACAGGCCTGCTGGGATAAAATTTTTTCCTTAATTATCTTTTAGAAAATTGTATCGAAAGAGGACCTACAGTCTCCCCCACACTGGTGGCATTCAGGGCCGACATCCTATCCCTGGCGTACGAGTCTTCCAATTTCTCACAAATTGTTGAGCTAACATTCTGATCATCCCCCGCCGAACGATTCACGATTTCCGGAAACCAAATCTGCATGCCGTTGGAGGAGAATAACATACCAAACATGGCACTCACCGCCAATATGACATTTAGGCCATGAGGTTTATGGAACAAGGGCAAGGTGGCCTTCCAAATATTCGAGATGAAACTACAACCCCCAGCTCCGGAGACCAAGGCAGCATCTGAAATTTCCTCCGGTTTTAAAATAACATTTGGTGTCTTCAACACCATTTCCAGATCCATGCCGGTATTAAGTCGCGATACATAATTCAAGGCCTTTACAGCCTCATCATGCCTACCCTGGGCCATCAGAAATAGTGGGCTCTCAGGGAAGACCACTAACATTAGGGCAGCAATAAATCCCGGCAACATACTCAGCAAAATAATTAAACGCCATGGACGAAATGTCAGCGAGGAGGATATTTCCCAGGACCAGTCGGCAGACAGGACCCACCATGAAATTGCTGAAAATACACAAACATACACACACATACCAATACCAAATTTATTAAATTCCATTTCATTCATGTTTATCCGTCCTATCCCATCCTTCATTTGCTTCATTCTTACCGGGCACATAAATGGCCGTTACGCTCACAAACATTGTGGAATAATTTATGGCCACCGCTCGATATTTGTTACTGGTAAATTCACCCAAATACGGATACAGCCCCGAGGAAACACCACCCAAACTATAAAAGAGCAGAGATAATAAATTATTTTTGTGTCCTTTTTTTCGGTGGTCAGCTTTTTATCATTGGTTGTGCTTTTTTCTCCACCTTCCTTTTTTTTTTTGCTGGTCTCATGTAAAATTTATCTCCGCCACTTACCTGATGCCCATAAGGAAATTGACAAAATTAAATACCCATATGTTGGAGACAAACATGGATATCAATTGGAGAGCATTTGTTATGAACATGGCCCACATCAGCACAGTGCGACGTCCCAAAATATCACAGACATATCCGCAGAGATACGTAGAGAGGACAATGCCTGAAATAGGGAAATACTTAATTTATAATATATAAAAATGGAAAGAACATTAAAGGGCTAGGGATAGGTCGGCACGAAAATAATTTTAAATATATAGGGTGATTTTTTAGCTATTATATTTTAGCCTCTATCTGGTTTCTAGTTTGCTTTTATCTGATTTAAAGCGCTTCCTTACGTTTCATGTTTTGTTTCACTGTCAACCCTCTTCAGTTTTAATATATTAGCCAAGCATCGTCTTACAAACGAACTACGCTGTTAGGAGAGTTCTCGGACGCCCTGAAGCTCAGCGGCGAAGCTCATATTTGGTCCAATGGATATGTAAATCAGCGTAATTGTCGATTTTTCAGTAAAGACCAATCAGAAGCTACCAATGCAACCAGAGAGAAAAGACAGCTCTAGTCTTGTAAAAACTCTCATTTTTATACCTCCCACCATACATAGTATGGAGGGTATATTAAGTTCATCATTCCGTTTTGAAATAATAATTTTAGACCCAACAAATATATATATTCCTGATCCTGATCAGCGTAGAATTCTAAGACGATTTAGCACTGTTCGTCCGTCTGTTGTAATTACGCTAGAGTCAATACAAATAAAGATAGGAAGCTAAAATTTTGCACAGATCAGTCTTTTGTCTGCAGGCAAGCCAAGTTCGAAGATGGGCTATATTGGCCCACAATTTTGTATAGCCCCCATATAAAGATACCCCCGATATTCGATATTTTGACGATTTTAGCCACATTTTTTGGTGGAATTGTCTGAAATTCCACACTAGGAGTTCTTTGTAAGTACTTTATCCCCTGGAAGAGAACTATCTATGTATATAGGTCCACGATATCGTATATTCCCCAAATATATCGGCACCCTCCGATATTCGGTATTTTGATGATTTTAGCGACATTATTTACCGGAATTGTTTCCAAATTGGTATTTGAAGTTCGTAATACTATAGCATAAAACAGAAAATGGGTCATGTCTTCGTATAGCCCCCATACAACGTTAGCCTATGACGGAAAATTGTCTGTGCAGGTCCACGTCTTCGTATAGCCCATTTTTTTAAGGGTCATCAGCTGAAGAAACTTGGATTGTTTAAAAAATATTTTTTCAAGGACTATCAATTGGAGAAACGTGGATTTAAAAAAATAAATATTTTTTGACGAACATCAGCAAAATAATTTTTTTAAGAATATTTTCTAAAAACTATTTGTTGAAGACCAAAAGACCAGGAAACATGGAGTTTTAAAGGGGATTTGGTTTAAGAATCCCCAGACCACAAAAACGTGGATTTTTTAAGAATGTTTTTTTCAAGGACTATCGGTGGAAGAAAGGACCATCAGTTGAAGAGATGCGGATTTCTTAAAAATATTGTTTCAAGGACCTTCAGACCAAGGAACGTGGATTTTTTAAATATTTTTTTTCATGGACCTTCAGACCATAAAACATATTTTTTTAAAGAATTTTTTTTTTTTCAAGTTTCATCAGTTGAAGAAACATGGATTTTTAAAGAATATTTTCTCAAGGACGCACAGACCAAGAAACGTGGATTTTTAAAGAATATTTGTATACCCCCAGCCGTATGGCTACAGAGGATATGTAGACCCTAGGATTTTTTGGACCAACTCCGTTTCAGGAAATTTGGAGCCGATCTAGCGATGCCCGTCCGTCAGTCTGTCTGGCTGGCTTGTGCGCACGATAACTCTCGAAGGGAGTATCCGATTAGATCCTAACTTGGTACATCTTCAAATTATTGTCAAATTTGGATCGAGTTCGGAGATGAGTAATATCGGTCCAAAAGTTCAACATTTTAACAGAAAATAATTTACCTCATAGAACAAGAAAGGATTATGAAAATGGTCAATATTTGTCCATTCATTATGTACCTCCCACACAAAAGGTTAAAATTTTGAATATTCATAAATATTATAAAATGTAAAACAAAAGTCCGATTGTCTTCAAATTTCACTCTCACTAATATGTTTATCAACACAATATTTGATGGGAAGATGGTATATAGCGAGCGACTCCTTTAAGTACTTCCCACACAATAGGTTGAAATTTTTAATAATTGTAAGTCTTAAAAATGCCAAATAAGCATCCGATTCTTTTCAAATTTTGTAAAATCCCAATCTTTGTATCGGTGCTAGGTCAGGTGCGAAAAATAAAAAATATTGGTCGACTCCATTATATACCTCCCCCGCAAAGGGATAAACTTTTTTATAATCTCAACGCTTATAAAATTGGAAATTCCAAATTGTACACATCCCAATATTTTTTATTAACACAAGATCTGCTAAGAAGACCATTCCTTCAAGTACCTCCCCCACAAAGGGTCAAAATTTTAAATAATTATATTGAATAATTATGTATATGAAACACGAAATAAACATGTCATTCTTTTTAGCTTCTCACATGCCAATATTTCCACTAACACAAGATCTGCATGAAGATGACAGATATCGGTTTAAACTTGCGAAACAAGTAAGAGATGTTTTTTTAATTGGATATTTCTAAATATATCTCTCAACCAGACACTGATTTTAATATCGATATAGTGGTCGATACATACACGTTGTAATATTTATGTCAGACTTAGGTCGAATACGAAATGGACGATATATCCCCACTCCTTAGGAACCATAAAAACGCACGGCTAAGGGTATACATCTCTCGGAAAACCGTACTGTGGTTTGCTACGATCCCGTTTAAAGTTAATTTTACCTATATTTTGAAAAAGTCTCCCCATTAGTGAAACGCTTGAGGGTTAAAATCTGGAACTAAAATAATCTTTATTAATGCCGAAGTCACAGTATATATAAAATGTAAGCATTCCAAGGAATCTTAATCTATTATTGGATTAAAATTTAGGGTTCACTTTTTTCAAAACGGCGAATTTGCTAGATTTTTCCGAAATGTGTATTTTTGAGTAAAAAACTTATATGAACCTCATGTACCGCATTCCTCCACTAATTTTTATACCCTACACCACATAGTGGTAAGGGTATTATGTCTTTGTGCATTTGTTTGTAACATGGAGAAGGAAACGAGATAGACCCATAGTTACTTTTGAGAACCTTCATAGAATCACTTTCTGAGTCGATTTATGCATGTCAGTCCGTCTGTCCGTCCGTCCGTCCGTCTGTCCATGTATTCTTGTGAACAAAATGCAGGTCGCATTTATTATCCGATTGAGATGACATTTTCCAAACAATATTTTTTTGGCCCAAGGACGAACCCTATTGAAATTGGTGAGAATCAGATCAAATTTAGATATAGCTCCCATATATATCTTTATCCGATTTCGGGTTAAATGTGCACCAAATGGCCAATATCAGCCCAAATGGCCCGAATTTTGGCACATGTGACCGAGATTAGCCTTAAAGCAAATACAACAAATTTGGAGAAAATCGGTTCAGAAACAGCTATAGCTCCCATATATATATATTCATCCGATTTCGGGTTAAATGTGCACCAAATGTCCACTATCAGTCCAAATTACCTGAATTTTGGCACACCCAACCGAGTTCGGCCTAGAAGCAAGTATATCAAATTTGGAGAAAATCGGTTCAGATATAGCTATAGCTCCCATATATATCTTTCATCCGATTTGGTGTTTAAGCCTCTCACATTCGTAATATGCACTCCACAAGAATGATATTTGGTACCAGATATAAGATACAGCCCAGAAATAGCTGTTTGTAATTTTATCGAAATCGGTTCAGATTTGGATATAGCTCTCATATATATCTTCATCCGATTTCGGGTTAAATGTGCACTAAATGGTCAATATCAGCCCAAATCACCAGTCTAGAAGATAATACGTAAAATTTGGAGAAACCCGGTTCAGAGATAGCTATAGTTCGTAAAATGCACGATAGAATTAGATAGATTTTGATTTTGTACCAAATATCTCATAGAGCTCTGAAATGCCCTGTATAAATCTTTTTACGAGAGCTCTACTAAATATACATAGTGGTGTAGGGTATCATATAGTCGGCCCCGCCCGACTTTTGAGCTTTCCTTACTGGTTTATTGTATTTTTTTTTTTTTTTTTTTTTTTGAAAATTGTTATTTGCGAAATAAACTAGAATTATGGCTCTTTGAGACTATTTTAATACATTTCAATCAATTGCCATTCACTCTTTGGTGCTCTGCTGGCAGGTGTAAAAATACTGGTTTTTTGAAACAAAAATGTAGTCGCCGTTCTAAACGGGAAATAGATTTGAAGCATTGGCTCGAGCGAAACTAGTTATTGATGGTGCAATAAATTCTTGAAATCACCCATAATTGTCAACATACATGTATAATAAAAGCATTTCGTAGCATTTTTTTAGATATATGAGACAAATATTAGACTCGTTATTTTGAATGAGAATAATGAATAAAATTAAAGCAACGTAATGTGTGAAAATGTTTAAAAGTCGGACATATACTGCACCCTAAATATGAATGCAGTATGTTCCTATTGGTACGGCTATAACTTCGTATATTACAAAACATTTTGCCAGCCGTTACTCTGCATAGTAAATCTTATATTTTTTTTCGTACAATTATAGTGCATATATTCCAACCAGCTCCATATCTTAATTCCAGATACAAAAAGAGATGTCAATATCAAATTTGAGAATTCCAGCCCTATCGATTCACCAATTACCCAATTTATTACCACTTAGTACTTTTCGAGCAAACGAGCATATACCAACAGCGACATCCATTTCAGGATTTCAGCTCTATTCCTTTTGTCACTACCAAATTTAGTACTATTTAGAACTTTTCGTACAATTACAGTACACATTTTCAAAAATACCTCCACATCACAATCCTGGATATCAACAGATACCTCATTATTAAATTTGAAAGTTTCAGTCCTATACTTTCACCCAATATCAAATATAGCACTATTTGGTACTTTTCTTACAATTATAGTACACATTTCCAAACCACATTCAAATCTTAATTCCAGATACCAATAGGGCCCACAATATAAAATTTCATTATTTCACCCAATATCCAATTGAATACCATTTAGTACTCTTCGTACAATTATAGTACACATTTCCAAAACCACCTGCATATCGTTACCGCAGACACCAAAAGTAAGATCTATAACAAATTTCAGGATTTCAGCTCTATTCCCACACCCGGTACCATATTTAGTACTTTTAGTACAATTACAGTACACCTTTTCAAAAACAGCACATCAAAATCCCAGATATTAGCAGAGTCTTCAATATCAAATTTATATACTTTCTCTTCAACCAATACCAAATATAGTACTATTCAGTACTTTTCGTACAATTACGGTACACATTTCTGAAACCATCCCCATATTCCCAGGCTGCACATGAGAAGCGACTCTAATACCAAATTTCAGATTTCAAGCACTGTCTGCTCACCCAATACCAAATTGTACCAAATAAATATAGTACTATTTAGTACTTTTCGTACAATTAAAGTGCACGTTTAAAAAACAACCTCTTTATCACAAAATTATCACCAGCAGGGACGCCAATACAAAATTTCAACATTTCTGCTACATCCGTTCACTCTTAATCAAACTTCCAAATCTAGTAAATTTAGTACTTTTCGTACAGATAAAGGATGCCAAAAATCAAACTGCGCCTAAATATCAAACTGCGGAATTATATCTCTATCCCCCCTCCCAATATCAAACATTGTACCATTCACTATATTTAGTACATTTGTAGTACACATTTCCCAAACCACTGCCACATGTCCAGGCTGCAGATGAACTGCGATCATTTTAATAAATTTCAGATTTGAAGAACTTTCAGTTCCCCAATTCCGAATTTATTTATTTAGTGCTCTTCGTGTATTTGTAGTTCACATTTCCAAACCCATGTTTATGTAACAAAGCGACAGAGACCCAAATACAAAATTTCAAAATTCCAGCTTCTGCCATTCACACCCAACCAAACTGTTCCGAATTTAGCACTATTTAGTACTTTTCGAGAAAAATATAGGATGCATTTTCAAACCACCACCAAATCTTAGAATTGTATCTCTATCCTATCTCCAAGTAGACCTATCTACAGTACACATTTCCGAAACCACCTCCATATGTCCGGACTACACATGAACAGCAAGTACAAATTTTCAAAACTAATACATCATACCGTCCAATAGAAATCTAACTTTCGGGATTCCAGCTCTATCGGTTCACCCAAAATGTATATTGTATCAAGTACAGGGTTGTCCATATTCGACGGACCTTTGGGCCCATTCCAATCGACGAGACTTGTCCGCATTCAACATTCTTTGCGTCAATTGAATTTTGTATGGGAACAAATGCAAATCAATGCGAATAATCCGTTGTAAAGTGGACCGAGCCATGCCCAACTGCTGAGAACGGCGTTTTTGGGATGTTCTTGGGGACCTCTCAACACTGGCTCGTACGAATTTCCAAACGTCCTACAATGCAATAGTAATTTTATTTCTCTCCCAAAACTGAAATTGTACCAAATTTAGTACTATTGAGTACTCATAAGTACGAAAATTTTCAAAACAACCTACATTCCTCTGTCCTAGAAGGCAATAGTATTCTCAGTTTGAAATTTCAGAATTTCCTCCAAATTAAAATCAATTTAGTACCATCTAGTACTTTTCGTACACATGATTATAAATTTTGAAAACTTTCTCCATATCCCAATCCAACTCACCGTCAGTAGTGTTAACTTCCAATTTCAGGATTTCAGCTCCATTTGTTCTTCTAAATTCAAATTGTACTAAATTTAGTACCATTTAGAATTCCAACTATACCCGTTCACCCAAAATTTAAATTGTAACTAAATTAAGTACCATTTACTTCTAAGTACGATTTTATAAAAACAACCTACATTCCTCAGTCCTAGAATGCAATAGAATTCTTATTTCTAAATTTTAGAATTTCAACTCTATTGGTTCATCCAAATTGAAATTGTACCAAATTTACTACCATTTAGTACTTTTCATGCACATAAGTACAAATTTCGAAAACTTCCTCCATATCCCATTCCTACACCAATCAAATGTTAATTTAAAATTTCAAGACTCCAACTCCATTGGTTCCTCAAAATTCAAATTGTACTAAATTTAGTACCATTTAGAACTTTTCGTATACATGAGTACACACTTCCAAAACTACCTGCATACGTTGACTCTACTTCTCAACCTTGATTCCCATTCCAAATTTCAAGTTTTTAACTCTAAACGTTAATGGGTTCATGAAATGGTACCAAATATAGTACATTTTAGTACTTTTCCTAAACTTTTAGTGCAAATTTCCAAAAACCCTTTGGTATATCTAGCATATACTTTATGAATGATTCCCATTCCAAATTTCAAGTTTTTACTTCTAACCGTTCACATGATACGAAAAGTTGCCAAATATAGTACATTTTAGTACTTTTCGTACACTTATAGTGTGAATTTCCAGCAACACTTTGGTATATCTGTCACGTGACCCTCATTCTAAATTAAGAATTCTACTTCTGTTGCTTCTTCAAATACAAGGGGCGCAATATTTAGTACCTTTTAACACTTTTGGTACCGTTCAGGTATGAATTACCAAAAACCCAGCCTTATCTGACCCATTCGGACCAAGAGTGACCCTCACCCAAAATGTGACCTATTTTAGACTTAGCCAGCTTTACTTGGCACCTTCGGACCTTTGTCATATCTATCATACACTCCATCAGTGACCCTCATTCCTAATTTCAGAGTTATAACTCTACTGCTTCCTTAAATACGAAGGGTACAATATTAAGTATCTTTTAGTACTTTTCGTGCCGCTCTAGCACGAATTTCCAGAAACCCAGCATTATCTGACACCTTGGGAGCCAGAATGACCCTAACCCAAAATATTGCCTTTTTTAGTCTTGGCCAGCCTTATGTGACACCTTTGGACCTAGAGTGACCCTCACCCCAAATATGGCCATTTTTTATGTGGAAATTTTAAAAATTAAAGTAGGTATCGAAAAAGTCGACAAAAAATTCTGAGAAAGCCAAATATCGTATGGCACACTTAAGCATGACAACGACGGTACGTCGAGGTACTGCATTCACGACCAAAATAAACTCCATTTGCATCAGTCCTTTGTTATTGTTAGCCCTTGACACATCCCTCTCCTTTGTGTGCTCACTTTTATCACTCCTTGTTTTCCTCCTCTTATCTCATTAATTATTCACAAACTTTCCGCTTTCTTTCCGACTGTCTTTAACGTAATCGTAACTTAACATCATCTTTGCCTTAACCATTAATTACCTCGCATTCACTCACTCACTCACCTGTAACACATGCCGCCATCATGACACCCTTTTCTCCCTGAGTCATATTGAATTCGCATTGCGAAGAAATGCCAATAATGCCCACCGCCAGCTGAGCTGCCATTGAGGTGAGAGTCAGAAGACCGCTGTTGAGCAGCATTAACCAATTGAATTTGCCAAAACCTGAAAAAAACCAAAGTCGTAGTTTCCGAAAATGGGTCGGGTGTCATCTTGGAATTTTATTTATTTATCGCCTCTTACCCAAAATATTCAAAATCTCATTATAATCCCAGGCATTGGGCGCAGCAGAACCTTTCGGTTCGAGGGCAATAAAACTGTCAGGTGCATTATTGTTATCTGATGCTGGTGCGGCGGACATGCCTTCTCCTTGTCGCTGATTGTCACTTATCATGGCATTATCGGCAGCATCACTTGCCATCGAAGAGGTGGATGATGTTAAGGGGCGTGACTGTTTACTGCCATCAGAGAACTGCATTTTTTGATGGTTCCCTCTTTTTTTCTTTGGCTTGGCTTCTTCCGCAGCTGTTCGTTCAATTCAATTGGCGCGCACGGAATTCCGTTTGTTATTAACAGTTGTAAAGTTATTTTGTTTATAAGTCGGATTTTATTCAAAACATTTACTTATATTTAAGCATTTCGTTCGCCTCTTCTTGCATTGTAATTGATCGTTTAACATTGCTAGCAGAGCAAAACACAAGATTTAGCCAGGCCCACTATTAAAAGGCAAGCGGAGAGAGTGTTTCATGGAAATTCTTGTCAGACAGCTTTTTATACCCTACACCACATAGTGGTAAGGGTATTATGTCTTTGTGCATTTGTTTGTAACATGGAGAAGGAAACGAGATAGACCCATAGTTACTTTTGAGAACCTTCATAGAATCACTTTCTGAGTCGATTTATGCATGTCAGTCCGTCTGTCCGTCCGTCCGTCCGTCTGTCCATGTATTCTTGTGAACAAAATGCAGGTCGCATTTATTATCCGATTGAGATGAAATTTTCCAAACAATATTTTTTTGGCCCAAGGACGAACCCTATTGAAATTGGTGAGAATCAGATGAAATTTAGATATAGCTCCCATATATATCTTCATCCGATTTCGGGTTAAATGTGCACCAAATATCCACTATCAGTCCAAATTACCTGAATTTTGGCACACCCAACCGAGTTCGGCCTAGAAGCAAGTATATCAAATTTGGAGAAAATCGGTTCAGATATAGCTATAGCTCCCATATATATCTTTCATCCGATTTGATCTTTAAGTCCCTCACATTCCTTCTATGCACTCCACAACCGTGATATTTGGTACCAGGTATTAGATGGAGCACAGAAATAGCTGCTTTAAATTTTATCGAAATCGGTTCAGATTTGGATATAGCTCCCATATATATCTTCATCCGATTTCGGGTTAATTGACCACCAAATGGCCAATATCAGCCCAAATGGCCCGAATTTTGGCACATGTGACCGAGATTAGCCTTAAAGCAAATACAACAAATTTGGAGAAAATCGGTTCAGATTTGGATATAGCTCCCATATATATCTTCATCCGATTTCGGGTTAAGTGTGCACCAAATGTCCACTATCAGTCCAAATTACCTGAATTTTGGCACACCCAACCGAGTTCGGCCTAGAAGCATGTATATCAAATTTGGAGAAAATCGGTTCAGATATAGCTATAGCTCCCATATATATCTTTCATCCGATTTGGTGTTTAAGCCTCTCACATTCGTAATATGCACTCCACAAGAATGATATTTGGTACCAGATAAAAGATACAGCCCAGAAATAGCTGTTTGTAATTTTATCGAAATCGGTTCAGATTTGGATATAGCTCCCATATATATCTTCATCCGATTTCGGGTTAATTGTGCACCAAATGGCCGATATAAGTCCAAATGGACTGAATTTTAGTACATCGGACCAAATTCAGCCTAGAAGCAAGTATATCAAATTTAGTGAAAATCGGTTCAGATATAGATATAGCAACCATATATATGTTTCATCCGATTTAGAGTTTTAGTCACATACATTCGTAATATTCACTCCACAACCGTGATATTTGGTACCAGGTATTAGATGGAGCACAGGAATAGCTGTTTTAAATTTTATCGAAATCGGTTCAGATTTGTATATAGCTCCCATATATATCTTCATCCGATTTCGGGTTAAATGTGCAGTAAATGGTCAATATCAGCCCAAATCACCAGTCTAGAAGCTAATACGTCAAATTTGGAGAAACCCGGTACAGAGATAGCTATAGTTCGTAAAATGCACGATAGAATTAGATAGATTTTGATTTTGTACCAAATATCTCATAGAGCTCTGAAATGCCCTGAATAAACCTTTTTACGAGAGCTCTACTAAATATGCATAGTGGTGTAGGGTATCATATAGTCGGCCCCGTCCGACTTTTGAGCTTTCCTTACTGGTTTCCTACTGTCTTTGTTGCTGCTGCCCTGCTGCAATGTTAGCTGGCTTGTTTATGATGTAAACGATCTGTATGGTGTGGTCGTCACTTATTGTCTTAATGTTCAAACAATCGTGACAAGATCACAAATCTGTAGCCGGTTTTTTCGTTTATGTTCAGAATCTATTGTTGTTATTTGAAGCAGCGGATTTTCTGTCAGAGGTAACAATTTTGCAAATTTCATGATTGAAAATGTTGCCAATGTCAATGACATATTTTAGTGGGAGATTTAAGGACGGGGCTATATAAGATATAGGATAGGTGGTAAATTTGTGGAAAAAATATATTTCGAAATATCGAACATATGTGTCGGGCGGGGCCGACTATATGATACCATACACCACCAAGCGCATTTAGTAGAGCTCCCGTAACACAAAAAGTTTATATTGGGAATTTATGTGAAGTAGATCCTACCGACTACGAATCTCATTTGAATGCGTATTATGTATTAGGGAAATGTATTATACATATGGTGGACAAAATGAAGTGGATGAAGATGTATATCGAAGGTATATACATATCTGAACCGATCTCGATAAAAACTGGGAGAGGTATTTTGGAGCTATATCTGATGTTGTGAAGTGCATATTATGCATGTGAGGGACTTTAAGACCAAATCCGATGGAACGTATAAATGGGAGCTATAGCTATATCTGAACCGTTTTTTTTTCAAAAATGAAGTACATGCTTCTGGGCTGAATTCCGTCCGAAGTGCCAAAATTCAGCCCATTTGGGTTGATATTAGCCATTTGGTGCACAAAAAACCTGAAATCGGGTGAAGATATATCCGGGAGCTACATCCAAATCTGAACCGATCTTGACAAAATCGTAGGCACTTATTTCTGAGCTGTATGTGATATCTTGTACCAAATCTGGTACCAAATATCAATCAATGCATTTTACGCGTGTGAGGGACGTTAAACCCTAAATCGTAGGAAACATATATGGGAGTTATAGCTGTATCTAAACATATTTTCACCAAATTTGAAGTCCTTGCTTCCGGGCCGAATTTCGTCGGAAGTGCAAAAAATCAGTCAATTTGGCCATTTGGTGCACAATAAATCCAATATCAGATAAAGATGTATGTATGGGAGATATATCCTAATCGGATCCGATCTCGATAAAATTTGACAGAGGTACTTTTGGGCTTAATAATTTATCTGGTACCATATATAATTATTGTGGAGTGCATATTACGCATGTGAGTGACTTTAACACCAAATTGGATGTAGCATATATATGAGAGCTATAGCTATATCTGAACCGATTTTCACCAAAATTTGAAGTACTTGCATCTAGACTGAATTCGGTCGGATGTGCCAAGATTCAGTCCATATGGGCTGATATTAGCCATTTGGTGCACAATAAAGCTGATATGGTAAAAAGATATGTATGGGAGCTATATTCCCTGATTCGATTTCGATCAAATTTGGCAGAAGTATTTTTAAGCTCCAAAATCCAAAAAACTTCCCTCTGATAAAATTCACCATATTTTCCATCACTAATTTGTTGTAACTTCTCAGGCGATTATTTTTTTTTTTTTTCGTTGTTTTTTATTAATCTTCTTCTTTATGCAAAAAATTAATTTAATATACCTTATATGAGATTGTTTGAAATCAAAAATACAATGGATACGATATGAGTTATATTTTTACTTAAAATGGTCATGCTATCACACACAGGGTGCTATCAAAAAAACCACCTCAAAACATTAACACCAATCACCTCAAAACATTTTAAATATAACACAATTTGTAATAACCACGAAACCAGTTTGCCAATGCGGCCAACATCATCTGCCATACCCTGTAACGTTTGATCGATTATTTCGATTAAAAATAGTTCATTTGCATTTTAAATTAGTTTGTTGCTGTTTCTTCTCGTTGTTGTTGTTGTTAATGTTGTTCTTGTTGTTGTTGCGTTTTAATTTTGATGTGAGCAAAATGTTTTTATGTGCATGTGCATTGTTGTTATAGTTGTTGACTGCCATTGTTGCTGTTGTTGCGCTGACTACCTACTCTTATTGTTTGTAACTGAGTACACAGAGAAGAGAAAAAACACTGACCTTTACCATTAGCCGTATTAAATGAGAGTATATGCTAATGCCATTTATACATCGACTACTAATTTTGCTGTTGCTGCTGCCGTAACACTCATATTAAATAATTCATTAGTTTTCTTAACAAGAATATGTATATATGAAATTTTTAGTATATATATGCGTATATACTTACAGTCGGACAGGGTTATAAAGAAATCCAAGGGATCAACATTAGTAAGGTCCCCAAATCTTAATTAGAACGAGAATTTAGTTATTTGCGAAGTGTAAAAAATTCGTTACAGAATGTGGTTTCAATGCTTTTAATTGTCATAATTTTCGTGTTCTACTGTATATAAATAAAGCTACTATGGTTGTAGTAAAAAGTATTAACTGAAACGGGAGAGAACTACATTAAACCCCATAACTTGGGATTATTTTGCACAAAAATGTTAAAAAGTTAAATGTAAAATTGTTGGGAATATGGGATGTACGTATGCTCGGGTCCTGAGAGAAAAACACATTATTAGGAGATGGAAAAGTGTAGAGTGATGAGTAACTGACTGGCAGGTTCATCAACACCCAGGCAACACGGTTGAAACTGGAATCTTTAAATGTAGAACTATGATGGTGTGGTAGGGTTGTGGCGGGGTTTTTGGATATTCGAACTATATGAGTACAAAAACAAAATAACACAATATAACCACTACCCTTTATGATACCCTACACCATTTCGCCAATTTAGTAGAGCTGCGCATAACAATTAAAAGTTTTTTATGGGAGAATTTAATTATACACGCTATGGTTATAATTATAATTAAAAGTTCAAAGAACTAAATATGCCGAAGCATTCGTATCTTTTAAAATCGGATAAAAATATATATGGGAGCTATATTCAAAACTGAACCGATCTCGATAAAATTTGGTAAAGACATTTCTGAGCTGTATTTGATATATTTCCCTGAATATCGTTGTTACGGAGTGCATATTACGGTTGTGGGTAACAAATATAACAAATCGGATGAATAATATATATGGAAGCTATAGCTATATCTGAACCGATCTTCACCAAATTTGACATACTAGCTTCTAGACTCAATTCGGTCGTAAGTGCCAAATTCCATCCCATTTGGACAAA